GGGGGGGGGGGGGGGGGGCTGCCGGTGGCCTAGGGGGACGAGCATGGATGACAGCACAGCTGAGTATTCCGCTGGCCTTGACACACTCCCAGGAGCGGGTGCCCAGGCTCAGGCTGCCTGTCAGGTGGCCGGCAGAAACCGGTTCATCAGCTTTGCCCTGGAGGCCCACGCAAAGAGCAGAAGGCGGCAGGAGGTAAACACGAGCCAGATGCGCGCACACACACACACACACACACACACACTCAGACAGGTGCGCACACACGTGCACACACGTGCACACACGCGCACACACACCGAGGGCTATTTCCTCCCACAAACACCTGCTGATGGCACCAGCAGTTGGCATAATGGCTATGTCACTGGACTCCCATGTAGTCGACCGTGGTTCAAGTCCTGGACCCAGTGGGTTAAACTCATGCCAGGTGCGTGTGCGTGCGTGCCCAAGATCCTGACAGGAGAATGGAGGAGAAGGAACTGCGTTGTGGCCATCCACCCTGGGGGGGATTTCTCACTTTTTGTCTCTGTCTTTCTGGCAAGTGCACATGCCCTATAGCAAAAACCTCTCAAAAACAAAAAATCTGCTGCTGATGTACAGGGGGCTCAGCTCCCTTCACGGCCTCCGGCCTCCCAGACAGGCACATGCACCACTGCCTTTGGGGACACTGCTCTGCGGGGCGAGGGTGATAATCCTGCAGACACCAAGTCAGTCCCCAACATCGGTGTGGGGAACCCCTTCCCTTTTGGGCCATCATGTGGATACGCCCCTGGGGCAACAGGAATCCTCTAACTGTGTTTGCTTCAAGTCATGGGAGAACGGGGAGAAGTGTACCCCTGCACACAGGCAGTGCACTTGGGGTGCTCGTGGGAGAGGCCGCCTGGATGCAGGGGCGAGACCCGGAGGACCGACTTGTGCTGTGTTAGGGAGGAAGGTGCAGGGCATTTGCCTGCGCTGGGCACCCGGACCAGCTCCGGGAGCCCAAAGCTGCGTGGAGGGGCCGTAATGAGGACCGTAATGAGGACCGTCGCTGAAGCAAGGGGAGGGGAACCAGAGCCCTGCTCAGCTGTGACTGTGTGACGGTTGATTATCACCCCCTCCCTGAAAAGCCCCAAAGCCTCTGCCTCCCACCCCAAGCAGAGCCCCCGACAGCCAATACAAAGCCCCGTTTCCCCTCAGTGAGCCAGGAAGTGGATCAGGGAAGGAACTGCAGAGGTGGGCAGGATCTGGAACCAGGCGGACTAAACTCCAGCAAAACCCAGCGCCAAGCCCCAGCCGGCGGAGCGCCTTCTGAAAACCCAAGATTCCCGCTGAGCGTGTAAAGTGTGGCTGAGACACCACAGAACTACGGTCGGGGGAATCATGTGGACATCGCCCTGAAGAGCCCCCCAGCAGCTGCTTAGCGAAAGCGTGGGTTAGGTGCTGGTTGGGGCACCCACGTGGTCTGAGAAGGCCAACCGTGAGTCCTGGACCTGGCAGCTGGTTTTCTCGCTTTCCCTTGCTCTCTCTCCCCCCTCTCCCTCCCTCTCCCCCTTCTCTCTCCCTCTCTCTCTCTGGAGAACTGAGTGAATCTCCTCGCTGGTGAGTTCCAGGCCCGCCTGTCATCAGCTGTCTTGCGGAGGGACCACACGTACACAGGTCCAAACACAGAACGGAGATATTTTCACCAGTCTGGCGAAATGGGGAAAGCCACACGACGGTCACTAACAATAACCAAAAATGGCAACAAGCACTTACCATGTGCCCACGGGAGCTTTCCAGAATCCTTTTGACAAGCCTTTGAACTAGGCAGCGAAATTATTCCCACTTTACAGAGGGGAAACGAAGGTGCAGGATTAAGTACGTACTCGCCAGGGTTGGTATGTGAACCCACAGCGCTCCTTGGCAAGTCACGTGCTTGAGCACTGCACCTCACGACCCAGACCTAGGGGCCAAGGGGCCAGCGCGGTCGCAGGCAGGTGCTCGCAGGCTGAGTTCTCCCATGCCTTGATACCAAGCTCTTACAGACCAGAGCAGCCAGAGGTGACACGGCTTGGGTCCTGCCTCCTGGGTTTCTGGGTCACAGGGCAGCGTGTGTGTGTGTGTGTGTGTGTGTGTGTGTGTGTGTGTGAATGGTGGGGGCCAGTGACAGTGGGGAGGCGGCGTGGCAGGTGGTTTCCTGGAGCTGGAACTTCCTGTACCTGAGGCCTTGCTACCCCAGCTGCTCCCTGCCTCTCTGTCCCCGTGGAGAATGGGTGCTGGGCTTGTTTTGTGGGAAGTGCATTCACCCACGACGATCAGGGGCCATCCCCACATCCAACAAAGTTCTGCAGGTAAGCACCTCCCTTGGCCATGCTCTGACACTCGCCGGAACACTCCACACGCCGGAGTGCTCCAGAGGGCGGCTGCCCCGGGACACGCACGCACGGTCAGGCCTGCGGTCAGGCCTGTGGCCGAGGGACTCACATTAACAGCCTCTGCTTGCGAAAGCCTCCGGGGTTGCTAGAAGTGTCTACTCTTCCCCATTCTCAGGCGACATCTCCCTCCCTCAGCCAGCGCTGGTGTTTTAGAGCTCCTATGGCTCAGGGAGGGGTCTGGAATGGACTCCCCAAGGCTAGGTCCCGGGATCACATAGCATTTTAAGAACGTGTCCCTTTCTCTCCAGATGAAAGGACTACGTGGGCCTGGCAGTAAAGAAAGCTGACCCTCAGGATCAAGTCCCGGGGTGGCGGCCCAGACCCCCTTCTACAGATCCAACGCCATGGGTACAACAAACTGGCCCGGGGCGAGGCCGACGAGCGGTGCCGTTTCTGCTCCATTTCAGAACTGAGTCTGAACTCGATCGTGGCCAGCACACGCCGGCTTCCGCGTGCGCGTGCGGGAATAGGCAGTTCAGGATCCGCCGCTGGCAGGGCTCCCTAGGTTATTTTTAGCACCTTAGACTGCCTTTTTTTTCTTTTGTTTTTAAGGGGGAAAAGGGGGAGAAGAGTCGGGCTGAAAGGAAGTCAGTCTCCTGCCGCGACCTTAGCCTCAACCACCCGGCCCCGCAGGCCCCGAAGGCCAGGAGCGCGGCACTCGGAGAGAAAACGCACTTTGGGGGGCCGTGCAGGGAACGCTGGCACCCCGCACGAGCGCGGCCGCGTCCTCGGACGACACAGCCA